GTAGTGAGGTTGGCCCAGGATCGGACATTGTTTCGTTCTGCTGTGCATGGGGTCGCTATGAGTCGGTTCCGACTCGATGGCACCTGACAACAACAACAAGAAGTAGCTGCTGGGTTCAAACGGCTGATCTGGTTAGCAGTCAAATGCTTAACCACTGAACCACCACACCATAACAATTTTTTAATTTAGTATTTTTTAAGTAGCGTATTCATTGGGGTTCACATTGAAAAGTCATATGAGGTGACTTCCACAAGTTCATGGAAGAATTCCATTATCTTTTAGTTCCCTTTGTCCATGAACTTTCATGAAGCCCCCTCGTAAAATAGATAGGCAGTATAGAATGTCCGCAGTTTCCCAATACCCATCTCGGGACATGACCGTTATTGTCAGTGTCTTGTGAGTCCTTTCAGAGATGTCCATGGCCAGTAAAAACAACCTGTATGTAAGTATATAAACCAAAAGTTGCCACTGAGTTGACTTGACTCATGGTAACCATTTTGTGTTAGAGTAGAACTGTGTGTGCTTCAAAGGGTTTCCAATGGCTGATTTTTTGGAAGTAGATCACCAGAACTTTCTTCCTAAGCACATTAACAATTTGTACTGGTCAGGGACTCTTGTATGTATATATCTCCCTTATTTACATGAATGGGCACATACTGTACACACTGTTCTTGTCTTTTTGGGGAGAGACGGGGTGAGAACTTATATGTGGTTGTGGAAAGTTTTGGAAATTATTTTATTATGAAATAATTGAAAATGTGTGTTTTTGTTTTTTTTAAGATTTCCTTTTGGAAATTATTTTATTATGAAGTAATTGAAAATGTGTGTTTTTGTTTTTTTTTTTGCTTTTGGAAATTATTTTATTATGAAATAACTGAAAATGTGTGTTTTTGTTTTTGGAAATTATTTTATTATGAAATAATTGAAAATGTGTGTTTTTGTTTTTTTTTAAGATTTCCTTTTGTAGCTGTTTCTATTGGCTTTGTTGTAAATAAAAAGGTACGTTGTTTAACATTTATGGTTGATAAAATACCTTGCTTTCATTTTCTGAGAAAAAGTAAATGTGGCTTTAAAATAAATTATATTTGCCTCTCTGTTCAATTTTTATAATAGGCTTATTTAAAGTATTAGTGATAAGAATGTTAGAATTATCATGACAGTTTTTTCAATAAAGAGAATTTGGTATTTTCTGAGAAGCAGATATTCTAAGGCAAAAATATATTTTTGTAATGGAAATACGATTCAATATTTAGTCACTGTTATATACATGCTGGAGTCCTGGTGTGGCACTATAGGATAAGTGCAGGACTGCAAGGTCAGTTTGAGCTATAAGATCGGTGGTTCAAACTCACCAGTCACTCCTCAGAAACCTTGTACTGGGTCTCTATGAGTTGGAACCAACTCTGAGGCATTTAACAACAACAGCATAAATGCTAGAGTCATATATTACAGAATTTCAAGTGGGATCTGAAAATGGCTAGTGGAAGAGCTGGTATTTGAGCTAGTCAAGAGACATCTAAGACCTGGAAATGTCAGGGACCAAAGTATGGTAGGGAAATGCAAAGGATATTCAGGTATTCAAACATAATTGTGCATTCATTTTATCTGTTGTTGTTAAATGCTGTTGAGTTGGTTCCAACTCATAGTGATCCTGTATAGGGTTTCTGAGGAGCCGCTGGTGGGCTCGAACCACCAACCTTGCGATTAGCACTCTAGTACTTACTCTACAGCGTCATACCAGGACTCATTATATCTAAGGCCCTGCAAAAACCAGTTGCTGCCAAATTGATTCCTACTTATAGTGACCATATGGTACAGTGCAGAACTGCACCATAGGGTTTCTAAAGCTGTTAATCTTTATGGAAGCATGCTGTCACATTTTTTTCTCATGGGCCACCTGGTGAGTTTGAACCACTGACCTTTTGGTTTGCAGCTGAGTACTTAACCAATGCACCATCAGGACCCGTATCTAAAAATAAAGTAAGTAGAGTTAAATCTATTAACTGCTGTTTTCCTTGCTGTTTAGCTATTTTGTTGATTGTATAGTGAACAGCTTTCAATAACATCTTCAAAGTGCTTGTAATCTATTTGATCACTGTGTATAAAAACAGTTAAGAAACCTCTGAAAATAAAGACATAAATACAAATGAAAGCTTAGTTATACATGGTGTTAAGTCAGAACTTCCTAAAGGAGATAATTGAGCATTTTACATATAGTCAACCCAGTCGTAGGCTGTGTTGCCCTGTCCTTGAATTCAACAGTTGAGTGCAGAAGGTAGATGTGTAAACAGATAAATGAAAAAAAGTAATGGAACTTTGAGATAAAAATTCCTGTGGGAGCACAGCAGAGTGTAACTAATTCTGTCAAGAGTGAGTTGAAAGACAAATATAACATAATGGGGCCTTAGAAATTATTTGGATTGAGTCTTAAGAGTACACGAGCCTTGCTAATTTTGCAGCTCAAGAGGAAAAAGGAAAGTATTTCAATAAGAACAGCTTGGAGAAGTTGAAGTCCATGATATTCCTGGAGAAATATGAGTAAAGGAGAGGTGGCAGGAGCAGAAGGTTGATGGTGGAAGTTTGTTATGGCTACATCCTGAGGCATTGCAGCCCATCCATGCCATAAATCTAGACTTTGTTCTTAGGTAGTTGGGAAACAGAAGAGGGGGAGAATGCCATACAATTTCTGTAATTTAGAGATTTTACCAGAAGGAGTAGGGGAACAATAGTTTTGAACTAAGATGGGGTAGGGAGAATATGAGAGAATGGCAGAATTAGGAAGTGTTTATGAGATAAAGTGTGAAGGAGGAGACTTGTGAGGAAGACATGTGACTTGATCAGGCATTCAGTGTTGTGACCTCTTTGGTTGAGGTTTTTTCTGGAATATTAAGTGATCTCAGAGAGGAATGTAAGAGTTAAGGAAATAGAGGTAAGCTCTGGTAGCGTAGTGGTTACAAATCGGGCTGTGGACCACAAGGTCAGCAGTTCGAAACTACCAGCGGTTCCGCGGGAGAAAGATGAGGCGTTCTGCTCCCGTAAAGATTTACAGCCTCGGAAACCCTGTGCAGGGTCGCTATGAGTCGGAACTGACTCCACGGCACTTAACAACAACAACAACAACAACAAACTATTACCTGAAGAGTCCTGGTGTGACGCTACAGGTAAATGCGCTGGGCTGCAAGGTCGGTTTGAAACACTATGTCGGTGGTTCAAGCTTATTAGCTGCTCCTTGGAAACCCTATACAGGGTCACTATGAGTTGGAAATGACTCGATGGCACTTAAAAAACAACTGTTAACTGATGGTACATGGAGGGGATTGCAGTCATTGTAATGAAGCAAAATATGTGATATGCTGAATGTAAAACTGATGATCTGCTATAAACTTTCACTCAATTCACAATAAAAATATTTTTATAAAAAGGCAACCCATACAGCAGTTCTACTCTGTAACAGCTGGGGTCGCAGTGAGTCTAAATCAACTTGATGGTAATGGATTTGCTCTATAACATACGTTCTTGATGTGATTGTTGTTGGTCTAAAGCAATTAATAAAAGATTTTGATGTTTAAAAAAACAAGGTGATCTGAAGCAAAGGTTCTCCCTATGAGGATAGGTGGATGGGAGCCACAATGTAAGACTGTATAGAGCTAAAAGGAAAATGAAAGAAAGAAAAATCCCTGAGGTGTACACTTTTAAGAGCTAGATAAAGGAGCTTCTAAGAACATGAGACTAAGATGGATTTAATGAGTGCGATAAGAAAACTAAGTACTACCTGAAATGTTGTTAAAGTGCTGTCACATCGGTTCTGACTCATAGTGACCCTGTGCAGGATTTCCGAGGCACGTCTGGTGAGTTTGAACTGGAAATAAAGAGTTACTGAATTAAGTATGGAAAAAGGAGCTGATGGTCACTTGTCTCTAATTCTTCAGAGGAAGCATTTGGACCGTAAGAGTTCATTGGTGATCTTTCCAGACTGAAGAATCCACAAGCCAAAGTTGTAATGTATTAAGAGGAAAATTTGATGTGCAACAAAGTATAGACAACTGTTTGGCAGTGAGGTGAAGGGAGAGGATAACATCATGAAAGGATTAGAGTTAAGGGAGAGTTTATGAATGGAGATATCTAAGGGGAAGACACCTGAAGAGAAATCCAAGAATCGAGGGATCAATTGATGGACGATGTTTCCAGAGCGGGTAGGATTCATAATACCAGAAAGAAGGGTTCACCTTGGAGAACAGGAAATCTCTGTCTTCTGAAGCAGGAAGGAGAAAGGTTTAGAAATTGATTGAAGGGATCTGAGTATTTCAGATCTGATGACCTTTTTCCTCTGATTAGACTGGCAATGAGCATTGTAGGTATTCTGCAGTTTAGCCACTTGAACACATTATTATTAGTACATTAGATTTTCATGTTACTTTCTTAGAAAAAGCATTGATTTCATGAAGAAAAATTGTCAGGTTTGGTAAAGAAAATTGTGTTTTTCTGCAGATAGAATTTGGAGTTGTATACAGTTGTGTGGAGGATAAAATGTATACTGGCAGGAAAGGAAAAGGTGCCTTTTGTAATGGTCAAAGGCTACAGGTTTCACGACAAGAAGGTAGGTTTGTCTTTTAATTTCTCGTGAAAATATTGCATACTCAATATATACATATGTTGTTGTTGTTAGGTACCATCGAGTCG